AAAGCCATCTGCAAAAAAAAGTAAAAAGCGAAGAGTATAAAAAGCAGGAATAAGCCATGCTGCAACAAGAAAAATATCAAACTTCCTAAAAAGCTCTTCTCAAAAAATCTTGTTGTTAGAAGCAGACGAAGAAAAATCTGGTTAGAGAAAACACCTCGAGAAATATTCTCCTTATACTTGCCCGAGTTTCCAAAGTAATTCGTTTATTTATTTTTACCAAACTTTCTAAATTTATTTTTTTTACTAATTTCTACTGAACGGTTTCCACCAGAAGTTGACATTCTTGGTAGAAAATTAGGTTAAAAGTTTGTTCTCAGGGAGCTTTATTTTTGATGTATTTTTTCCATTAGCTGCATTAGCCCCATTAGTGGGCCCGCAAAAATTTTGAGAAGCCCCTATAAAAATTTTTCGGAGTGCGTGGTTAACGCCACGCACCTTCATCTGAAAAAATTTTTTGCCGCCCCCCCCCCCGAGCTGGAATCCTGGGTACGCCACTGCTATGTGGATATCCTGATGAGGTCAAATTAACATAAATCACCTTTTTACACCTTTCTCCTTTCTTCGCTGTCCTCAAAATCGTCGTAATTACCGACGCCATCCGCCTTTACTGCGAACCGCGTCGCAGTAATTGCACAGTTGAAAAAACCTCAACTTTCTCTTCGCTACTAGCCTTTGTCCTCGTTCGCCCTCAAGTGAGTAAACTTTGCACTTCGTTTTCACTTCGTACTGTAAACATATTCTATTTTTGGAATGTGCAAATAAACAAAGTTCGAAGTGTCGATATTCGCAATATATAGAAGAGGCAGCTATTGTTTGAAGAAAACAAAACAACACTCAGCTAATGTTAAAAGAAAACAAAACAACCCTAGCCTTTAGGGTCAAAACCCTCGATGTTATTCTTGTATTCTGAAAGTAAGTTCAACAGTCTTTCGAAAATGTTTTGTTTGTTCTATTTTCGTTCCCCCCTAACAAGTGCAAATTCTGATCAACTTACGAATCTTCATTGAACTCATTGTCATTGCGAAAAAGGAACTCGAAACCTCTCAGTGTTGAAAACTGGGTCACTCGCATAACTCAAGAATAGAAAGTTTCCGGCGACACGTGTCGGCCGTCAGAAAAAGCTGATTTGTATCTGTGTTTGGAGTACAGCGAACAGAGGCTTTATGGGAATTCGTGAGATAAACTGTTTCACACAAAAACTGCAATATCAGAACTCGCTTCCAGCAATATCAGAACTCGCTTCCATGAGTTCGTATACGACTTGCATTTGGTTGCTCGCCATCTTGTAGAATAGCAACGATTAACAAATGCAGTTGTATCAAGTTGGTCCGAAATTATTGCGCGTTGTATTCAAAGTCACAACATCTTCGTAACGTGATGGATTCCTTTTAAAGTAATTTTGTTTGGAAACGCAGCTCAAGCTCTTTACAATAGTACTTTAGTCCGACTTAGTATTAGTAAATGCAAGAGTTATGTACAAGCAAGGGAATAAAACTACTGAAACTTTGAATTTTTAAGCTCGATCATGAGAAATTCTGAGACAGTTTTTTGTTTGTAAGAGAATTTTCACATTTTAATGCACCTTTGCCGTAGATCAGCGGCAAGGGGAAACTAGAGTTACGAGCAAATGAAGAGAATTAAAGTTTGGCGATTTCTAAGCAAGCTCAAAAAAATGTAAAAAAAGTCCTAGCGGACGCGACAGTCATGAACATAGGTTTTATGACTTCCTCTTTCTAGCTGAGCATAAAACGTGCTGATCGAGAACGGTGAACGAGAAATCGTCCCATCAAAAATCATAACTTTTCATAGAGACATACGTTCAGCGCGAAATTAGCTTAGCTAAATGGGGGAGATCAAAATACAAGCTGTAATTGACTCTTTCATTATTTTTTTACAGCGTTTTGGATATTTGGTGAGCTTGCTTAGAACTACCGAAATTTGGATGATCTTCTTTTCGCATGTCTATATCTGCGACTTTTTTGTGGAAAGCGCTCAACACACAGATGAAAACTACATGATTTGTTTATTTCAACAAAATTTATTACAGGCACCATGTGGACAGGGCCCGGCAGGAGGTGGCATTTCAGAATTTTGAAAACGATATCCCCTTCGAAGCCAAAATTTCTTGCGACTTCCCCTTTGACCCTATTTTTGACCCCCGTAAGTCCCTGACAAACAGATATACACAAATAATAAGAAGGGCGGCCTCAGCGCTTATTGTAGTAGTACTACCTGGCTTTCCTGGCCCAGCCCGGGTCATCAAGGTTTCAGCTCAATGGGTTCATCCGCAAAAGAATCTATAAAAACATAGGGTCAAGATTTGCACAAACTTTAACGTTTATATATCTAAGATACTACTCATTTATTAGTCAGCTGCGAAACTTACAATTTACAATAACCGATTGCGATTGGAGCGCGCTTTCCGAGGCCGATCTAACGCTGTGAACCCTATCTGGAGCTGTATCGAAGCGGTGCCTTGGTGGTTTTGGAAGCGGATTTGAACATATAGTAATACTCTCGACTTAGTCCACATTTATGTAAAAAATTCCGGGAAATTATGTGAAGGGAAGCAGGGAGCCACCCCAGGTGGCTCCCAGGTGGCGCGGGAGCCACCTAGTTTCGAAAAACACCATTTTTTAAATTCACATAAGTTTCTCATAATTCTTCATACTTTTCTTGTGCTCATGGTCCTCCAACTACACAGCAAATTTGGTGCCATATCGTTACTTGTGCATTGAAAACGAGCCTATTTTGTTATTTTCCTCTTACAAGAATTGCGATTTGAATTCCCCTGCGGGCAGGCTAGCGATCGGAGCACAGAATCTTCACATTGCTGGAATCTAAGTTCATAGGACAGTAGCATCAACAAGGAATGATGAATAAAGAATGATATGTGCACTGTTTAGCGCCACCCCCGCCGGGCCCTGCACGTGGATAGTAAAGAGTTACGATTTTTCGAAACTGATGTGCAAGAACTTTCGGACCAAGCTAATATTATTAGTTCTCAAAAAGGTTTCTCTTCAGTACCGCTAATTTTCATCGTATCAGTTTTTAATCGAACTGATTAACTCTCAGAGCGAATCGATCCAGTGCTGTAGTGAAGGAAGGAAGCGTAGGTAAAAGAATACATGGACTGCGGAAAATCTATACTTCGGGGTAATCGCTCAACTTGTGTTACAAACGGGCACTTGGCGCAAAGTAGTTCATATCATGAGATGGTCTTCTAATCCAACAGCAGGGTTATCCAAGCTGAGAATCTGGATTATCCAAGCTGAGAAAAAATCTGGATAAAGTAGTCCATCTAGAAAAGTCATGAGACTTCAACATTCGAAGTCAAAGCTACGTCCGGCTTTTAAGAAATGGAAACATTTTTCGCTAACGATGAAGTATGAAAGTTTTGATGTATGTGGAGCAACTATTAGTGTTCCAGAAGTTTTCCATCAATTATGAAATTTGTAATGCAGTGAAAATATAACGTGTTCTAGTGCTGCTCAAAATTTCCTTTATGGTTTGTATTTGCAAAAAAAGTTGTCATTTTAATTGTGGTTCTCAAAATGCATCATAAAAATTAGGTCCGATAAAATGCGGCAGAAACAGCATTATAGGCTCTATAATTTACTTTTCTAACTAATTGTATGCTCATTTTCTTGGCTAATTTGTCAGGACTGCACAACACGATACTATATTAGAATGTCTCAAAATTTTTTACCGTTTTTACCCTAAACATCACTTTTTCACTAGAATGCGGCACTTGCAAAGGGTCCAAACACATGATCGTACTTCGGTATGTCTGAGCTATATGATCACGTGCGTGGGAGGAGCTCAGGAATTCTAGGTGCGGAGTTTGCCATTTCACTCCAATTATTTTTTCCTTTATTTTTAGTCATGAAAAAATACGAAAAGTGCACAATTGAATGTTCGATGTGTCAAGCATACGCTAGTAAATGGAGAATTTTTGCGACATTTTGGGGCGGAGCTACGATTTTTAAAGTTAAAGTTCGTTTTCGACCGCTATCAAATTTCTGGTCAAAACTTCACGTATAACATAATTTGGGCAAACTCTCCATAGCCATCTTGTAGAGCTTGCTCTGTCCTGTTGGATGATAACTCAAGCTACATCATTTGAAGGAAAAATACAAAAAGACGACGGTTGTAGTAAAAACGTTATGAGACATCCTAACATATAAAGAAGGGTGATAGACTTCAGTAGGTAGTAAAAATTATTGAAATATATACATTGAAACGTTCAAACACCTCTGAAGGGAATATTCCGGATTTTGAAGTACGTCCATTGATTTAACGATTTGATCAACATCTGCCTGCAGCACTTGGTCATCTAACTTTTAATTTCGTACCACGAAGCACAGGAAAAAATGTTGCGCATTCCACAATAAATTCATGGAGTTTACCGCCTAGGATATGCTAGATCTGCCTCCACTCCCCTCCCCCCCCCCCCCCCCAAAAAACTGCTCATCGACCAGTTCTTCGAAGAAAACTTTCCCACTTCGAAAATCTGCAGAAAAAATTCGCGGCGGAAAGGCGTCCGCAGAGGGCTGGCGCTATTACGGGTTTAATTTTTCGCCTTTGGGTATGGTTACTCGCGGTGTCGGTGACCTCGGCCCAATTCTTGCGCAACCCGGCTGGTTCTCCGTCATCCAGCGCGCCGCCCCGCAGGCGGCTGGCGCTTCAATCCGCGCCGCCGGAGACGCGCGGCGAGCGACCTCGAAGTCACCGCGCCAGAATTCCATTCCCGATTTGAATTTGTGTTGCATTCATTATGAAGTTTTACTTGCAAAGCAAAGAGATTTCTCTGGAATTCTCTATTTTTTCTCAAGTTTCTGGATCGGTTGCCTTTATTGAAACTCCTGTCAAAATTTCTTGCACTGGAATTTCTGCGTAGATGTATAAGAATAATCCCATCTAATCGAATCATCCCCCTTCTTTTCTTCTCCTCCCGTTCAACTAGCCTAGTATACCAGTTCGATAAAACCAATGATCTCAGATCACGCCTCGAAGAGCCCAAGAGATCTGGCGGGGGACTATCGATCCGGGTCTTCAACCCGATGCCATTCACTGTTCTACAATTCACTCAGAGAGGTCCCACTAATCAACCGGGCTATGTCCCGGTCTATTCTGCTTCTCGTGGTCACCCTAGGACTAGTCTCTGCTGCTGCAAATTGCCCTAGTCTCCCTTCAACTTGCGTCTGTGACAAGGAGGGAAATGGCCGTGTTTCAATTACTTGCGAGGGATCGCATCTACCTAGTTTATTCAAGGTAGGAGAAATTTTTTGATGACTCTTATCTTCCTCGAATCTTCTTTTCCCCTCCATCTAGAGATGTTCTCATTTCACTGGCACAGTTTTGAATTTCGATTGTACATCTTGCGTTCGCAGATTTCTAAAGAACTCTTCTGACTTTCGTACTTTGGTTTCGCCTACATTTCACTTTCATTGACGGTCGATTCTCACTGTGTTCGAGGGTCAGATCTAGTTATTTAATGGGTCGCGGAGAGTCATAGCGCGCCGGATTTGGTGCCAGATTTCTGTCGATGACCATCGGAGTGACTGAAGCAGAATATAAAAGTTGCTTTTTGCCGTGGAACTGGTTACGTTTGGGTGGAAATTGCTCAGAAAGGTTTAAGAAGTATCTTATTCGGGGAAAGAAAGACATAGAGGCCGTACTGTATATATCCATGTTATCGTTCATCTATACCCTGGCGATGTGGGTGAAAGATTTAGTCAGGAGGTCAAAAATGATGAACTAAAATAAGCTCATAATCCTTTCCTATCTGCTCCCACTGAGCCAGCTCTTCGCCTCACTAATCTCTCTACCAAAAAGCGCAAAAAAGCATGTCATCGTGCCAGAGCAATTATTATTTGTCCTCATTTCCAGTTACGAGAGATATGTCACAGTGCTAATAGCATCCAGTTATTCGATTGAGAACTAGTGCAGCAACGCATGTTTAACCAACATTTGTTTGAGAAAAACAATCCATTGGTCGCGACAAATATAGTTCAGCGCATGTTTTGCAGTTTTGCATTAGCGAACATGATGCTAGGAGCTTTTTCATCAAGAGCTTGATTGTAAGCTACCGTATCCATCGAAAAAAAGCAGAGCTCTGATTGGTTGGTGACTGGCTGAGTAACCAGCTCTAGCTCTTATTGGCTACTCGGGTTTTGCCTTACTAGAGAACCGAGAACGAACTTTTTTCCAAGCTCTAGAACTCAATTTCTGAAAAAAGTTTTATTCACACCGGGTTTTCTTCCTTTTCTTGGAAACCTCTCCATTCTAAACAGCGTGGTGCACGATCTTGAAATAACATAAAAGACTCTGAACTGTAGTGGAAAAAATTAATAGTCTTTCTGCAGTATGAGAGAAAGTTGATAAAAGGGTAAGGTGGTGTTTAATTTTTTTTTCATGGCTCTATATTCGCAGTGGAGAGAGGTCTTTTGCGAAACTTAAATTGAATTTCGAGTTATAATACTTGCATTTGGCATTCTCGTATTTTCATGTGTGAAGATCCGTAATAGTTAGATTTGCTTTTGAACGTTGAAATCCACAGACCAGGCTCGTATTAGTCGTTTTTTTCCACATTCGAGTAGAAAAAGAAACTGAGTCAAATATTAGGCCTTTCGATTCCTATGTTGTCCCTTCTTGCGAAACAACCTAACATACGAATTGTTTGTGCAGAATTTTCTTTAGTGTTCGTGATTTTGGTCAAAGTTGAGTCGCGATGGCGATTTGTTGGTTCTAACTAATGTTTACTCGATGTAGTCTGTCCATTTATGGGTCTAACAAATCATAGATAAAATCTCTAGAGAGCTGTACTTTTGAGGTTAAGCCAGTAAATGCTTTTTGAAATATGCTTTTGTGTTTTACCTACTCACACTTTTACTCCAATTTGCAAACGGGTTACGTTACAATCGCTCAGTTTCTAGGGCGCATATTTACGATGAGCGATCAAGCATTTATAAGTACTGATAGTGGTTATCCTAGATACAATCGGTTACTTCCGTTTGTGGTTTGCAATCGTGGGACTATCGAGTTCTTTTTTTTTCGCGCATAAGACATAATGTGGCTAATCCATCTCTGCCCCACATAGAGGATTAGAAGCCGATTACGACAGATTTTCTCGTTGATAGAATTTTTTTGTCGTTATTCTGGCATGTATAATGGAAATGCTGAAAATCTTACAGAGTTTGAAGCACTCACTCGTAATGCATGGGATTTTGCTTTTCTGTAAATCTCAGTCCTTTGCCATGCAAAAAAGTACGATTTAGATTCATGGTGAATCAAACACAAAATCAAAGATTTAAAAAAATCAAAATTATCTTTCGATATGGTAGCTAGAGTTAATATCGTTTCATTTCATTTTATTCAATACGCTCAAGGAATTCCGTTTGAAGAGAATATTCAAGTACTTCGAAACGGTTTTTTTGCTTTGGCGTAAATGACTGTTTATTTTCACAAGCATAATTTTTCTTCAATCAATCGGGAAATGTACTTTCAGCGTTTAATTATGTTTGAGTTGAACCTACGCTATTGAAAAGAGGGACAAGGTTTATCAAGAAAAGTTCGCTACGGACTTTTTTTTCACATTTTGAGTATTCTTGTTTTTATCCTTGTCTGTGGGAATCCATGAAATGAATTCAGCGCAAACATTAGACAGTCCTGCCATAAGTTCTTGATCGGCTTCTAACCGACGTAAACTGAGCTTACGAAAATGAGAGTTGGTTGTCCCATAATTCTTTTCATAATTGCTTTTCACCGACATAAGTCAGTTCTTCTTATATCTCTAATAGGGTGCTGGGAAACATTAGACAGATCAAAGCAAGCTCTACAAGATGGCATTCAGAAGTTTGCAACAAACTTGAATATATCCTCCCCATCAAATACTTATACATAACTTACTGCTTCTTTCTGATGGCTAGAAATCAATAGAAAAAATAATGCGGTGAAACTTTATGCTTTGCCCTGTGTTCCTCGCAAATATGTAATTTATAGCTTACCCACTGAGGAAAACTTTCACAAATTTGCAACGTTGTAAGATGCCGTAGTTTTTGAGAAATATCCGTTTGAAGGTTCAAATTTGAAAAGACTTATGGGACAACCTAATATATCCACTTGGGAAATCTTGTCCGCTCAATAGCAACAGTAACGCTTTTTTCGGTAAAGTAAAAGTTGTGGATATTAAGCGTAAGTAGGTTCACCCATGATTCATTGAGTAGAGGGTCTTGAGGACAAAGAAAAACTAGCGACGTGTCCAGCGGAGCCCCACCAATTTTCACTCTCTACCGCGCATAGCCAATCTGAACCGAAGATCTCGACTTTTCAGGACATCGGGTCAACTCCGCTCGAACGGCTGCGCGTGTCGGGATGTTCGCAGCCGACGCTGGACGTGCTGCCAGCCGGCCCGATCCGATCGCTGACGCTGTCGAACTGTCGCATCTCGACGGTGGATCCGAAGGTTTGTTGACGGGGGCCCGCTTCGTTTTTTCGGCGTGGGTCCAAGTGGGTGCTTAACGCCACTCGTCTTTCGATCGTCTTTTTTTGCGCCTTGCGTGTAATCGGGAGATGTTTTTGCATTTCACTAATGCCTCTCGGCCGAAACGAGGTCAGTGCGGCTGCCGCGCCCGACCGCCTTCGAAACTGCTGCTTTTTTCGAACTAATTAGACCGAGTCTTACATTATTTCAATGCATGCCAGTTTCGGCTGGAATCGAGCTGCTCGCGACTGTACGCAGACGAACCGGCGCGTGCACCGGCGCTATCTATTTTGCTGTTAAGTGCGGTCGGCTGAGGTTGGTGGCGAGGAATTTGGGTCAGACTAGCTGTTGCGAACAGTCGCCACTGGAGCGAGCCGCGCGCCACTGATATCAGTGAAATGCGCGCTGCGATCATCAATTGTCACTCGTCACCAAACACGCGGTAAACACCACCTCCCAATCCGAGCCATATCTCATTATACGAACTGGTTTTGATGACACCACTGATAGGAGACAGTTGTAGAATATACCTTTATGAGTGAAAAAGTTGCAAAAATGTGAAAGCGGAAGTTCCAGCTGTTCGCAATAACATATTATGGTTGATCCATAATAGTTTTGAAACAGGAGTCATGGTACATTTTTGATTTTTTTGAGATTTTCGAGCAAATTCCAAATGTAGAACGTTTTCTTGATGTGTGGTGAGTTTCTGATATATTGTAAACAGAAATACCAAATCAAAATAAAATAAAAAGACTCAAAAGTTATAGCTAGTCGTAGTTGTCCGTCCAAACCATTTTTTTGCTTAAAGTAGCACAAAACCGAAATTAGGTTTTATCCAATTTTTAGCTAAAGAGCCGGGCATACTTCATGCGATTTCAGTCGCGAAGCGATTTGGCAATATTCCAACTATCCATAACTCATTGTAAGCAAATTTAAATGTACAGAAGATAGGGCATTTTATGAATCTACGTAAGTTATATACACTGTACATGTGCAGCTTGCTAATGTTGGATCTGTAGACTTCTGGCGAATTGCCAAATCGCGTCGCTACTGAAATCGCATGAAGTATGCCCTGCCCTTAACGCTGTAAATAGGTAATACAGTTAGCTTTTTATTACCTTGTACACTAACTACTAACTAATGGATCATGTATACAAACTACTAACTAATGGCAGAACAATGTATGAGAATTTCTGTCTAGAAATTCTGGAAAGTGCATAATTTTTTCTTTTCCATACAAAACAAATTCCCTGAGATGGGAAAACTTACGCGATTTTTGAAATTCTGATGCAAAAACTAGAGCAACTGGTTATCATTGTGTAACAGGCGACTTGCAGCCCAGAGACTAGGATATTAAACGATTACTTTATAATAAGAGAATAAAATAAACATTCAAGACGTAAATCAGTTAAAAGAATTGATTTAATCATTACCAACTGAGATAGAGGTTTTTGGCGATGAATTACATATGATTTAAGTAAAACATTTGGTTTCCAAAAAATAACGGAAGATTCACGCGTACACAAAAAACCTTAAATATCAAAAGAATTTTGGCTGAGGCTTCTACAGTTTTCAAATATTTCGGCATTATGAGGAATCAAAAGGGGTTGCTACAAATACAGGGTCTCCCAAAAAATGTATCCACTGTTTGATTGTTAATAACTCTCTTATTATGAGGTCTTTCGAGAAGCGGTAAGCTCCATTTTGTAGAGTTGGCTTCAACTTAGATTTACAGTATAGAGTGAATTACCGACCGCTCTTCATTACTGTAGGATTACGGTAGAAACTTGGAACATGTGGTGTCACTGTGGAAAAAGCTGCCGTTTCAAAAATTTTCAAAAAGATGTGAAAACTTGTGTAATAGGGGTTTTAGGGACGCTGAGTTCAATACTCAACTATTCTCAAGATTGCGAAGCTTTTTAAACGGTGTAACCGCACTTTTTAGGAACATTGAGAAAATGGCAGCTACTGCTTACCTCGCATAAGTCTTCAGTGAAGCATCATAATAAGTTGGGAACTTCACAGTTACACTCAGCAACTCTAATTGGCCTAGTTTTAAAGTTTTCAAGCTGTTTTGATTCCTTTCTGAGGCAAAATATGGCCTTTTATGTCCCAAAACCCTCTTTCAAGTTTCTACTGTAATCCTACAGTAACGGAGAAAGACGGACGATTCGCTCTGCCAGCTCTACAAAAGGGCGCTTACCGCTTCTCGAAAGACCTCATAGTAAAAGAGTTATTAACAATCAAACAGTGGATACATTTTTTTGGGACACCCTATACACATAGTATCTCTACAAGAATGCACTTAAAGTGACAGCCATCGTCCATGTTGTACTGTAGTAGTTATAGAAATTTAGGTCTTTCGCATAGTCGAATCGTCACTGGAAGAGTTGAACCTGCTAAACAACAGTCTCTCAAATATTCCACTTTTTGGGAATATGTCAAGGTTGATGTCTCTGAATCTGCACGGAAATAAGGTGAGTACTGCTTTAGCAGATAGCGGTATCAGGGCAACACTGTCTTCTTACAGCTGAAAGACATTCCTGAGCATTCTTTCGACGGACTACCAAACTTGCGCTTCCTACGAGTCGAACGCAATCAAATCTGCTCTTTTACACCGTAAACTGTTCCTATGCAGAATACGCGCATTTTATGAACGTTGTATTCCAGGAATGCTTTGGCAGAAGTGAAATCGAATCTGGAACTGCTTGATCTGAGTGGGAACTGCTTTTCTTCTATCCCTGCACAAAATTTGCGGAATAGTGTGAAGTTGATGTATCTCGATCTTTCCGACAATAAAATTGGCGAGGTAAGAGTTGTCGCTAACCATGTTAACTAATTCATTGAAGAAATTCCACCCATAATTTTTCTAGATCAACAACTTCGAGTTGATGAACCTGCCAGAGCTGAAAGAGCTACGACTACATGGCAACGTCTTGAATCTGATCCACCCAATGGCTTTCATGAACGTCCCACAGTTACAGTATCTCTATATGAGAGACAATCTGATTGGGAGTCTGGATGGGAATAGACTTCAGGCTTTTCGTAATCTGGAAATTCTGGATGTGACCAACAATTTGCTGCAGAAGGTGAAAATTCTTTTGTTCGTAAGATTTTTCAATATATTTTTTGTGCCATTACATTTTGTCCTGCTCATAAGTAAATATTTTTGGAGTATTTACTTCTTCGGACTTTTAGACTGGACTTTTTCTACCGTCATTATTCATTTGACTAAGTGTTGATAATTGATATTTGCTCGTAACATCTGGCTAATTCCGCTCTTAACTCACTTCGTTTCTTCCCATAAATTTCCCTGATCTTGCGGTCAAAAAACTTCCTGATTTTCCCCTCAAGGGGTATTTATTTATTTTACGTATTCAAGCAAATTTCCCCTTCTCCAGTTGCCTGAGCTGAAAGATCTGACAAACTTGAAGCAAGTTCGGCTTGATGGGAATCTCATAGAGAAAGTGGAGACTTTGGCATTTTCTAATAATCCGAAACTTCAACTGATTAGTATGCAGGTGAGTTGTTTTTTGTAGTCTTGATATCATACTTTTCAAAAATTTTCAAATGAGGGAAGAAAAAAATCTTTTGGAGTAGAGGCAGGAAAAACTATTTTGAAGGGAAGGAAAGAGAATTTTTTCTGGTATATCCTAGTCGTTTTACTGCTTTCTATATCATGTAAAGCAGAGGTGCATGAGAATATCTTTTTTTTTCTGAGGCTACACTTGTTTCTTTGACAATTTCTCTCCAAACTATCTTTTGTATGCGCTTTTTTATGTTATGTCGAGACTTCTCAAAATTTTTTTAGAACAACAATATTGTTCAAATCGCTAGGAACAGCTTCGACTCACTGGATCAACTCCTCGTTCTGCTGCTCTCAAATAACTCCATACAAAGCATAGGTATTTTATCCATTGTTTACGAAATATTTTTGAAAATTTGCATTTAGAACGTGGCATGCTGGATGGGATGAAAAATCTGCAGCAACTTAATCTTCGCAACAATTCTCTGACAACAATAGATGAACACACTTTTGCTTCACTTCGTCACTTGACAACTTTGGATTTGGCCTACAATAATTTGAAAAAGATCGGGAAGGTTGGTTTCTCAAGGATCACTTCATGAAATCTCCTCGGTCTTTTCAGAAAACTTTCCTTCACCAAGACAAGCTATTTTGGCTGGATTTGTCTAACAATCGGCTCACGTCCTTCGAACAAGGAACTTTCGATGCGAAAATTGCAAATATCCTCTTGGATGGTAATTTTGCCCGAATTTTCTTGACTAGTTCCCTGCGGATTTGTGTCTCTAAGATTTTGCCTCAGAGTTTCCCTTAGATTGCAGATTTTTTAAGGGAACGAATTGGTGTGTGACGACTCGTTTGACTGGTTTGTGAGGTATCTAGTCACCAACCGTGTGCGAACGTTTTTGCCATTCCAGCCGGAGATTACTTGTGCTGGTCCGGAAAAGTACGCTGGCGTGAGGTAAATTTGAAAAATCACCTTGGTTCTAGCTTCCGCAGTATTTTGGAATCTTTGAATGGTGCAAATATGGAAAACTTCACAGACAATCTTGCAAGGAAAAGATTACTGTAGATTTTTGCAGAGTGAAATTTCAGACTCAAAGACCTTATGATGAAAAAGGCCAACGATACCTTGAACGAAGGAATGAGGACCCTTGGAATAGGCGACCAAAGCCAGAGGTGAAGCTCTAACACACTCTGAAAGTCTCCGAAAAAAGCTTATTTGTTCTCAGATCGCTGATCTCCTCATTAATCCCAGGACTGCGCCCTTCCCAGACCGCTATGGATAGTGCAGCTCTCGAAAAAGCGGCTGCAGGGCTTCCCATTTTGTCCACTCTGACCCAGGTCCTGATCACTGTGCAATATTCCGTCCAAAAATGAAATGCTACTCATTTCCAGGCAATACCATCAGTGCGAAATATGCCAGCATTGGAAGCGGGCGGAACGGCCGCGAGGCACGCTGTGAATCCCCAACTGAACAGAGCTCTTGAACAGGTAAGACTAAAGGATGAAAAAAGAGAAAAAAATTGTCGCGGCAATCTGATCACGTGAAGTCGTTTCAGTTTTGGTGTTGAAAATTGGCAATAATCTGTCTTTACTGCCCATCTGTCTCTTGCTAAGTGGGGCAACTGTCAATTTTTGTTTCCCACACTGATTATCACGTTTTTTTATTCATAAGATTTTTCATTTAAATTCTATTTTATTCACAAGAACGATAACGGAGCGTTTCGTGACAATGTCATCTATATGAATTCGATGCAAACTGAGAATAATAAAGCTGTCATCACAGCCATACATTCTTGCAAAATTAGCGGAAAAGTTTCGACATAACTGTTGTCACCCAAAAAATGCACATACTATTGCGGAAAGTTTGATAGAAGGTAATGACATAATAGATCAACGTGGAGTAATTTCCGCCTTAATAACTCAGATTACATAAGTGAAAGGAGGATTTTGATTTGGATTTAAACTATTTTTTATAAGGTTAAACACATTCATCGAGTGGTAATTCAACGCACTCTATGCGGATTTTGGCAGTTTCCTGAGATACAATGAAGAACAGGGAAAGATGGGGAAGATTGCTAACACTTCATCGAATGTCATTTTCTAATCAAATTCATTGGCTAATGCCATTAAGAGAGTTAGTTAATTCTCAGCCACACTTCTATTATACAGATTATGTATTAGGTTGATGCATAATTCCTGCACCAAATTTTTTGAAATTCTGTTACTTCATCCAGCTTCAATGAAATCTTCTGGTTCGATACATTATAGAGAAAGAAATTCTTGCGCTTTCTGGAGCTGCGCGATTCAAAAGTTTTTGAGGCCATACGGCAGCATATGAGGTGACTAAGAGAAATACCCAAAAAAAGATCTTTCGATCTTTGGTCACAAAAATTGCCGAAAAGTCTACTAAGATTTAAATTTAATCTTGGTCTTAGTCTTATAACATACTCATTTAACTAAGAGAAATTATAGTATTGGATGGCTTTGCGAATGATCACGAATTTCGATTTTTTGAAACTGTCTCATTGATTTTGTTTCATATGATTTTTCAAAATGTACTATAAAATACTACTTTTGATATACATAGCAATAAGCATATTCTGTATATTCATTGATTTGTTTGAGCATTGAGCTTTTTTAATTTTTTGGCGCAGGAATTATGCATCAACTTATAAAAGACAGCTTATGGGAATTATGACCAAGACAATGAACGCAAGCAAGAATATTTTCATGTTAACGTACTCAAATGAATAGTGGGAAGACATACTCATTACGTTCAATTTCAAAAAAAAAGCGTTCTTAATATTCTTGCCATTAATTTTAGTTCACTGCACCACTGGTCCGTTTCGCAACCGGGGGTCAACCTGTAGCAAGCGATATTCAGCAGCTGATTGAGTCAATTCCAAACTTCATCGTTAATGTGCCAGGCTTAGGAGATGTTGACATCAGCAAGGTCAGTTTTACACATTGCTCAAATTCAATAATGGTTTGGTGCTTTCAGCTGGATCCAAGTCTTATCTCCCATGTTTTGCGAGGAGGGCAGATTCCTGGAATTCCTCGAGAGACACTGGACACTATCGTACAACAGTACATGCTAAAAATGCATGAAGCAGCGGCAGCTGCTCAGAAAGGAACTCCTGTGCCAAATAGTGAAAAAGTAAGTAGATCGTAATTAATTTGGGGTCAAGTTCAAGGTCGCTTCTGAAGAAAAATGAAAGATAATTTGTCGAAAAACTTCCTTGTCCTCTCTCGTCCTTCTGCTTCATTCACCTGCTCACACCGTGCACATCTTTCGCTTCACTCACACCACGCTTGGGCCGTTTTCAGTTCCTACCGACGTTCGACAAGCTCCCACATGAGTTAATTGCAGCAGTCATCCAAGGTGATAAGTTGCCTGGATTGAATGAGTCACAAACTGAGACGATCAAGGTGAGCACCGATGATCAGCTCCACGTTTTTTCTAGCACCTACAACTCAAGCATATAACCATTGACCTAATCACTAATAATCTATTTTTTTGTTTGTTTCTATGGTTGAATTTTTGTTTTCACACGTATTACGCATTTCTTGCGCTAACAAGTTACAGACTGCTATAACTCTTGTTAACATCCTTTTTGCTATTATCCATCAGTGTGGACTCCTGAAGTTTATCCTTCTTTGAAAAATCCAGCAAATCTTCTTATTCTTTCTCCACTGGGACTATCCGTTCTTAGATGAGACTGAAAAAAATTTTTTCCAACATTTGCGAATCCGTGTTCAGTGCCAGACTACCAGTTCAAAGTTACAATTGCACAAGTTCGGAGCTATCGCTGGGAAACTAGACTATTTGATAAGTCGCTGTTAGCTGCAATTTTTATGGCTTTATGACTTCAAACGTTCATAACCCAGAAGTGATTCGAGAAAACAACGAAAAATTACAATCATGTACAAATTACTCCTCTGAAACTCTTTCAGCACAGTATGTGCCTTCTAACCACTATCGGAAAGTAAGTGCCCAAATAGATTGAAACCTCACCTTTTTTCGTCCATTTTTTCCATATGGTAAAGTGTGCGAGACTACATGTTGCCAACCTTCACTTTTTGATCAATTTTTTTCTAGCATCTGTGCCAATTAGTTTGCAGTTTACCGTACTTTGTAGCAGTGTCCTTTTCTCGATTCATAAAAATTGAATATTTCAACAATTTAGTATCCACAACATACTGTACTGCTTCTTCAAGAGGTGTACTTTGTGGGGCTAGTAAGTTCAATTTCTTTTAAGGAGTATTATACGAGCCTGATACCTGTGCTGGCTGCTGAAACGGAGACAACAAACGAGACGGATGCTGTCTCGCCAGCACCACCGAAGAAGAGACCATTCACATTCCCTAAGGAGATGCTGGATTTGCTGAGGTTGCTACCGGAAAAGTACGATCTTAGCAGAATTCCAACGGAGGCAAGTTTATAATCCATCACTTAAATTAGAGCTTTAGAGTTTATTATCATTCAGTTTTATATGTTTTGTCTTTTTCAGATCCTAACAGCGTTCGCTCGAGGAGAAGTTCCTGATCTGCGCAAGTTACCTGCCGATCTTTTGGAACATTTCAAGGCGAACAGTGACAAATTAGGACTGATCTTCAACCGAGTGGCAGCTGTACGTTTTTGCAACCTACTTATAGCTCATTTAAATCGTGACGACGGATTTTACTGCGGACTTTGCGCCCAGATGAGCATAAAACGCTCATACAAGAAACCATCACCCAAAACGTTCAGCTCAGCCACTTCCATTGTCTATATATTATCATACGTACGCGAAAAAACCATTCGACTAGAGATGGAAACAATAAGATGCAATTTTCGGGAGTGGCGTGCGTGTCGCGCGCGGTTGCGCCATCGTCACGATTTTTCAAATGCCCTATACCTGCCATCGTCTCTCAACTGGCATTTCAGGGAAATGCTTCGATAGAAGAGATGCTGGCAAAGTTGCCTACGTTTGAGAAGCCTGTTCTTTCCACATTTTCGCCATACGACATCAATCGACTTTCGAATGATATGATTCATGAAGAGGAGGAGGCAGCAAAGGCAGCGCGAATGAGGTATTTTTTTATTCTTTATATCTCAGCCAAATATCGTTCGCTCGACTAGACACCTTTTTTTGCACAAATAGATTGAGTAAACACCAACAACACATCAAAAGAGTAAAAAAGAGACTCTGGACGCTGCCTTAGCATATGCGAACTTTTGTAAAAATCTGCTCAAAAGCGCTCACTTACAGTCAGATGAAATTTTTCTCATAATCATGCTCTCTTTGGGAATGTGCCTCCGATGATCCTCGAATCACAGAGCCTACACTTTTTGTTCCAGGATCTACACGGCTATCGCTTTGAGCTTTGTCGGTGCTCTGACAATAGTAGTGCTTGGAATCTTCGCTGTATACATCAAAAGACAAAGACAAGGAAAGGAACGGTATGCTAATCTTGCAGATTGGCTTTTCAAAACAAATCGAGATTCCAGAAGTGACAAATTCGACTTTTCCCTCAAATCTAGCATATAGATCCGCTTGTTTTTTTCTCAGGAATACCTTACTGATAGGAGATAAGTCCTACAAATAAAGCCTTTTATTTCAAAAGCTAAGCAGAATGCGCGTTGTCAGTGTCTTATCTGCAAACGGACTTGCCTATAGTTGGACCTTCTCCTACCTAGAGTGGATTTATCTGCGCGAGGGCTTATATGCTAGATTTGAGGGTATTTATAGGTGATGTTGTTCACGAATCAATTCATCAAAAAGGTTTTACAAAAAAAAATAGCACTTGAAGTCAAACGTTAGGTACAGCTGCTCAACAGCACTTTTCCAGACAAACATTGATGTCGCCTGGTGGTCCACTTCCAGGAGCCCCTATTGCAAACTCTACGATGAGACGAGTTCCTGCTTGCCAGTCTAGTGAACTGCATTTGAGAGTCGACTAGCATATATAAACTAACGTTCTTTCTCACATTTTCCCATGATTTTCTTTCCCATTGGTGCTTCATCGAATTTGTTTACATGCAGGTCATCAACTATTTTCTTTCAGCCCCTCGCCGGTGATGCATGTATGTTTTTCTCTTAGCCATTCATCACAACTCCTACTTGATTCACTTTCATTTGATTTATCCTCTGCCATTACGGGTGACCATACAATAGCATGATTTTTGTTATTTATAGGATATATTCGTGTAACATTACATAAGCAGGGCAAGCCTGCTGCACTGTACTAATAGTATTAGCATTTACCCAGAGTTCTGTGAATAAATTGATCTAGTCATGTCAATTATCACTGATCAAGGTGCCAAATGGACAAGATGAGAAGCGCCGCGTAGCACTATACACATGCTTAGTCACTCACTGATACACCTGTGGTCGTATTCATCAACGAACCCCGAGGGTTAAACTAACCCTGGAGGGTTAATTTAACCCTGGAAAGCGTCTAACCCGTACTCATGAAACACAGGGTAGGCTTAACCATGAGGGTTAAATCTAACCTTGAGGGTTAACTTTACCCCGAAAGCGATTAACCCGTATTCATCAACGAATCGTTTGAACTAACCCTGGAGGGTTGAACTTACGTGATTCATCAGGGTTAATTTAACCCTAGCTCAGAGCAAGGTTAACTCTACCCTGACACATCATACAAACATTTACTCGCATCTAATAGTTTTATGGAAAACGATCAAGTATTGTAGTATTCAGTATTAGTTGTTGTTATAGAATATTTCGGCTTCGTTTTATGTTCATATTCGAAGTACATGAAACACTGTTCGCGAGAAATTGAATTCTAGCTTTGGTGACAAATGAATGCGACGAGGAAAAATGGTTGCGCATTCCAGTCTGACAAGTGCCAAAACAGAAGAACCCCTTTATGATAACACGCACTGACTCCTAAAAGAGTAGCACAAGCCCGGCATAAAACGAACCGCGCAAAAATAGAACTTACACCGCACAATTGCACACATGAAAATAAACTCACGCTTAAGATTGGATGCTGCACAAATATGCTAGAGATGTTTTATAAAAACTAGTGTTAGAAGCTTATTCATTGATTATACTACTATAATAGTGAAAGAATAGAAGTATAAAGTGAATTTAGCACATACTTAGGCATTCTGTGATGTGAGTTTGCGCAGCGCACGCGTAACTGACGCCTTTATCCCCAGGGTTAGTTTAACCCTCAGAGTTCATTGGCCGTATTCATCAACCATAGGGTTCGTTGATGAATACGGCCACAGGTTCGTTGATCGATACGGGTGGATTGTGTTCGGTGGCAAACCCTACCCTATGGTTGATGAATACGGCCAATGAACCCTGAGGGTTAAACTAACCCTGAGGGTAAAGTTAACCCTCAGGGTTCGTTGATGAATACGGCCACTGGAGGTTGCTACAGATCTCTCTGCAAAAAGCTTTCTTCTCACATTCAAGAGATTCATCGCACGACTTACCTTCTCTTGTCATTCGCCGCACCCAACAATGGTGGAGATAGTGTGCAGGCAGAATACCTATGCTGCCTTCTGCGATCAAAACACAATGCAGACAGTTGCCATACTTAAAGCGACCACCGCTAAATATGCCGACAAATGTTCACTGAATTGCGGAACAAAGAGCCAGGTATTCAACATCTCTGGTATCCTGGCATACCACCCACACGAAAACGGCGTACTGTTCACGAATGCTAGCGAGGGAGCTTCATACGTCAACGTCTACAACTATCCCGACATTGGACACATCATCAGCGTCGACCTCTCGTCATGGAAGATGCTCGTCGTAGCTATCATTGCAATCACAGCGGCGTTAGTCTTCACTATTTTTTGTGTCCCAAAAATTATAAAATTGTCATTGATGTGCGTGTAATTTTTTGTAATTGTGACTGATATACGATTTGATTCGTCCTATCACCAATGCTTATTCACTATAACGATTACATGTGTTTCATCAATTTCACCTGATTTTTTTCCTAGTTTCCCGGAGTGCTGATGATTTCTATATCATCAACCTAATCAATCCATTTTTCCACATCGCCTATGGGATCCCCATAGGCTCAATTGTACGGCATTCATTCTTGAGTATCTAATCACTCAAGAATGATTGGCACCTGTAAGAGCGTTGCAACCAGGATTTTTGAGAAACAAGATGTGATATTTTCGAGTTTCATATAAAAGCGCTGAATGTTTCGAATGTTTGTGTTCCATAGTCAGTACATGTTCCCTCTACTTTTCTGAAATGCTAGCTCTAAAAGATGGGTCACCTTCCTTACTATTCTCAAAACATCCGCTTTCTTTATCTCATCTTCTGCAGTTCCGCGCAGTCAAAAATTAGAGGCTGGATTGAGTATCCAAGAAAAAAATTCATGTCAGTGTAGTGTATATTAGGTAGGTTCATGAATAATGCACGTTTAAACTTCAACTTTGAATCTATGTAAGTTTTTTCGATGCGACCTTTCTGACTGCAATAAACCTGGTGCAAACTGGAAACCTTTAGCTATACAGTGCATACTGTGTTATACTGTTGTCACTATGGAAAGAATTTTGTGGTTCGAAAACTGCCGAAGAAATTTTCCGGGAAGCGCTAGTTTAAGAGGGCATAACTAACTCTCAAATGTACTAAGATGGCGCAAGTTTTGCACATTGTATAGCAGATGGCAGGTTGAATAGTATAGTAGAACTTGGCTTTTACAGCAATTTTCTGCTCAAAATATGACAAATATACCTCCGGCGGGCAAATGGCGCGAGTCTGCTACTTCGCGCTCTGGAGCGCTCCGGAGCCCTGCCATTTCACGCATTCAGGTGCTCTGGGGCTCTCCCCGAAGTGGCGCACCTCCGGAGCAGAGATTTGTGCGCCGTTCACTGTGACGTCACCGTAACGTCACGGTGACATCACAAGCAGGTGAATGGTACCTTCCTCCGGGACGCGCAGATCTCTGCTCCGGAGGTGCGCCACTTCTGTGAGAGCCCCGGAGCACCAGAATGCATAAAATGGCAGGGCTCCGGAGCGCTACAGAGCGCGAAGTGGCAGACTCGCGCCATCTGCCCGCCGGAGATATCCCTTCGACTGTCTGAGGGTTTGAGCTGTTAAACTCCTTGGGGATAGGGTTTACATCAAGGCGAATGATGAATACCGTCACTAAATCACTGCCTCAATTGCACGTTTCCTTTATGTAGCAAAGCTTATGAATCCACGTCCAGAAGCTCGGTAAGTAATAGAAGGCAGATTTGTTATCCGCTAAAGTTCTTTGAAACGTTATAGAAATCATTCTGAAGCTGAGAACACTTTTTTGTAAGTGAAGGCGCTCATTCCTCACAGAAACCAGTGAGCACATAACAAAACGCACCAAAATTACTGGCGCAAATACTCTAATGGTAATCTATTGAAAACATTAGACCAAAAATGCCTCTGTTCAAGAATCGGGATATGAAGGAATAGATTAGTGGTTTCGACAAAGGTAGAAGAGCTTTTTTACTTTCACGTTTTGCTCTGCACTTGAATCTTAACTTTTCTCGAACCATTTTGTGCTTCAATTGCAGAGCACACGTATCCCATAGTCCCAGTTTCATCTGTTATTGATCTCCTACAAAATATTTAGACTTCCTTGCTTGGAAGATTTCTGCGCACGAAAGTTTTGTGTCCAAATTTGTGTGGGATCTAACAAGAGGAAAGTCACCTGACTTGGGTCGGCCTTTTGAGAAGCGACAACTGTAATCAGTATCAGCTCAAAACGCTGATTTTGAATCTGCTATCCATAGCTGCGATTACTCTGAAGCGAGTTATGAGCTTCTTCCTGAGCAAAGGTTGCGTGTTGACCGACTTCCGGATGCTATGATATCATCATCAAGGTAATGGTTTAAATGCATAATACACCCGATCAAGGCCAAATGACTCAATCTGATATTATTAGGTTGTCCCAAAAGTTTTGTCCGTTTTTTTCATCGCTCACTAAAAATCGCAGAACACCAATCCATGGACGCTTTAAGTATCATTTGATTCAGATTTTTATACCCTATTTTACAACTATATTTGCTCTCCGAACTATAGTGTCTTTGCAATGTTATCGCCATAGCTTTTTGAGCAGCCCAACAATAACGCGAAATCTTTCCTGAATTTCAAAATTTTTTATTGTGAAGTAAACAAAGAGGCTGGTAACTGTTATGCAAAGCAAACCTTTGGCTACATCGCACCCATTTTAGATTACATGGGCCACGTTTATCAAGTCCGGTATAATTGTTTATCTGATTAAAAAAAGCGGCTTTTTGTTTACGCTTGTAAAATACAGAAAATTCCAAAAACTGCTTTTTCAAAGCAAATCAAACTTGGTAATGTTGCATAAATAATGTCATTAAGTTTCAATTCGCGAAGCTTTAGAAGCATTCATGTATCTGCTGCAGTTGCTTTTCATGACTTTGCCGAATATCGAGACCTCTGAAGAAATAGCTTTTTGAAGCTAAAAACAGCAGATTAGAAGAATCTAAGGATATTTGCTTGTAGTCGAGACTCTATTTAATCCATACTTAACCCTTTCCAAAACATGGAAAGAAATTTTTGAAAATTAGCCTAACTTTGAGCAGATAAAATTGACTGATGGAGAATTTGGTAATTATTTAATAAAGCGCACAAGACTATGGTTTGAAAATGTATCTAAAAGAAAAAGAAGGAAAAGCTGCATCGAATACTTGTTGAAACTCAGTCAGTTGTTCATTGAGTGTGATTTATAGTGGCTTGAAAAAACGGACAAAACTTTCGAAACAACCTGATATTTCGATTTCCACCATGTTTTTGAGCAGATTCCGTCTACAAGCCTTTTTTCCATATTCAGTTGTATGTCAATGACAGATGCTAAAAAGCTTATAACTCGCTTCAGAGAAGAGCTTCGCAGCTAAGGACAGCATATTTGGAATTAGCGTTCCGAGCTGATTTTAAATATATGTGCATCACTTCAAAAGAC